CACTAAAAGAGTTGAAGCATATGATAGCTACCTCTGGAAGTGAACTTGGGTAACTCAGAGCTATGGTTCATCTGCATGAATTTCCTCCTGTTAGTAAGCTAATCTCTCTCTGTAAGGTTCTCTGCAAAACAGGTCATTGTAACTTTGAAATACCAAATACAAGAATCACCAGAGAACAATTGAAGAATCAAAATAAAAAAATGCGCCCGTAAGACACAGAAAATGGCTCTGATTCTTCCAAAAGTATTTTATATGGATTCCTAACAATTGAAGCCCGAGTAGTTTCGCATATCGAGAACTTACTGCAAAGCAATCATTAGTCTTCAGATGCTCAACAGATTCGTCATTGGGATTAGTGTTTTCAGACTTTCCTTTCTCAATATCAACATCTAAAATACATGGGGCGTAGCTGTTTGGTTTGTCCATCTTTAGTTTGGCATTTTCTAAATTTGACTCTGTAGTCAAGCACACGTCACTTTTCATCATATTAAAATCTTCCATACGCCTGACAATGTTTAGCTGTGATTCATACTCTGGTTTGGCAGTTCCTCCACCAGGCAACACCCCTAGACTATCAACACTTTGGCACTGAAGAAAAAGGAAATAGAAAATCATTTTACTCTGTTGCCTTTTCATTGGAAATAGATCATGGAGGAAATCAAACAATTGAAAGCAGAAGGGGAAAAATGTAAACTAAAATCGTAAAAACCAAATAAGTTAAAAGTCCAAAATAAGCAACGAGTCAGGCAAAATTTATTAAACAGAAGCACTCTCATGCTTTATATTGAATGAAACGATTCATTTGCAAACTTCAGAGCTAAATTTTGTCCAAACTTCAATATGAGCTGAACATTAATGGATAGCCATGTCATTCATCACATGCATAAAAAAGGTAAAGGTCAGTTTGTTTGCATGTTTGCATTGCAGCAGACTTTTTATTTTTCATGTGTCTCCCTCTTAACTGACCCCAACCAATCATATGGACATTCACACTTGTAGCAGGGATGAAAGTCATGCGTCAAACTAGAAGTTCTAAAATATCTCATTTGGTACATCCCTACTATGCAAGTTTTAGTTGCAATATCCTCAACATTCAGAAATAAACTTACAAGTCAACAATGTAAAGTTACACATGGATCGCATAAGTGAAGCAAATCAAAGACTCAACCATACAAAAGACACTCCTATATAAGGTATATATTCAGGTCCAAAAAGCTATGATCTATCAGTTATTTTACTTCATTTATTTGGTTCCTTTCTGAACAAAATCTCACTTTATCTCTCGCAAATAAGAAGACTTCAAGGAGGAGTCACAACCTTACCAATGACTCCCTTATATCAGGTACAATTTCAGTTCCAAAAAGCTATGACCTACAAATTATTTTACTTCACGTAATTTTGTCCTTTCATCTTTAACATAATATTACTTAAGGGGAATGGGGAGATCTCTTCCCTTTTGTGTAGGTTCTGGTCAGGAGCTTCAGAAGGAGAATCGTCAGAGCAGATGGAAGATGGAGTAAAGCAGATTCTGGTCATAACAGAATGTCAGAATCTATCATTTAGCAAACAACTATTGAGACTAGATTTAGAAATATATTACTAACCAACATTCATACTAGAAATGTGAATACACTTGCTAATTAATCAAAATTGTCTGCCGAATAAGATTAAAGTGTGTAGCTTAGACACATGTTCCATCAACCTTGTGTTCAAAGTTTACAGAGAAGCTTTTGGTTTAAAATCATTGACAAATGCCAAAAATGGTTGAAGAATAATTTTTGCACAACC